CTGCTCGGGCTTGCAAAACTGTAACAAGGTATTTTGGCAAAGAAGTTCAACTCGGGGTATATAAAAGATTGGGTATCATTCAACAGCTTTGAAATAGCCGAATCCCTTTATCTGATTTACCCACCTGAACTTTATGAAGAGGAGACAAGTGAAAGCCCCTGTGTTTCATATTCAGATCCATGCATAAAGATTCAGAATGATTAAAACTCTCCACATTACTGTATGGCAACAGGGATGATGTCAACAGTCCAATGGTCACCTTTACGTTTATTGACCAGTAATATTGCAACAGCTGCAGCCTTTGTTTACAACCACAGCTTTTCAGATACAATCGAGCATGATCTTTGTACCAAGATTTCAAAGAGCGCCATACTACTCTTGCTGAGAAGTTGTTTGATCAGGTTTCAAAATTCAAAGTCTCAGTAAACGTTCAAAACGTTTTATGGTAGCCATGTGGAGGACATTTCCAAATCTGACGTATTAGTGACAAATATGATGAATGATGCAATCCCTATTTCGACTTGAACCTTACGCTCCCGATTCTTTTCCATGCAAGAGAACAACTGACTAGCCTTTGCATGACGGGGGCACGCGTGAGGCAGGATACGCAGGCTGTTCCGCGAATTTGATAGTGATTCATAAACACTAGCTCATGATGTAGTCGAAATCGTAAATTCCACTTGATGTAAAGGAGTTTTATCGCTTATATTTCCAATACTTGCCTGCTCAGATACCAGACACAGTGCAACGTGGATACCCCACTCAGGCACACTATACTGACTCAGCCAAGCAGTCCAGGTTATAGTCTAGCTTCTTGTATGATGCCAACCATCTTTAAACGTGGGATGATGCCAAGGATCAAACCAACGACCTTCCGCTCTTCGGACAGAATCTGTATCCACCAGACAACGGAGATGGTCTGTTCTGGATAATATATCAGCTTAGTAGTTTCTGGACCGTTAATGTAATCTCGTCCGGCTAGGTGAGAGTCCAGTAAACTGTTTTAAGTTACCTGAATAGTTTCTTGTAGTTAAGTTTATTTCTTATAGGAAAGTTTTATAGAAGATCTTTGCATTTATATAAGTAACTAATGACAAGATAGTGTGGATATTTTTACAGATCATAACAATGTTAACGAAGAAGTGGTAGTTTATCAATCTCTGCTCTTCCCATGCATAGTTTCATGGAATCTCTAATATTCACATACACATCTTCATGATACCACTCTTACAATATAGAACTAACCACGTACACATTTTCACCCGCGGAATCGCCGACGATGTACAAAGTCACTCAGTGTTCAGTATATGCAACGTCCAGCAGTCAATCCCGACTAACAAGTACATGCCTGCGTCGTCTTGAACTAATCTATAAGCCGGGGATGCGTAGGAGGGTAAGTACAGTGTAGGTCGGAAGGATAAATGCTCATAAATCCAAGCGATTGCACGTTTGCCTTTTCGAAGGATCGCATATGTTGCTAATCTGAAACCTTAAAGCAAAGGCGTACATCCAAAGCCTTAGTAGGATATTTCATGTATCTTTAGTTTGTCTGCATTATTTAATTAAAAAAAGCCTCATTGGATGTTCTAGTTCCAACTCCATAATTGTACAGGACCAAGTCATACAAATGGAAGACAAGCAAACCTGATACTTGAGTCAGTTGATTAAACTAAGATAACATAACAATGGTGTTGACATTGGTATCTCTCCATATCTCCAACTGATACAAAAAGTAAAAAGTAAGTAACAAAGCCTTTCTTTAATTATGAGAAATCTTTCCTAATACCGCAGTCCATTGTAGACACCGACTACATCATGAGCATGATACCGTATCTTGAAATGTGTATTGCCTTTGTTGGTCAATTATTGTCACATTGTCTTGCCTATACTCGTACAATGGAATCATTGAACAATGAGTTCTCTATCTGAAGCCGATGATTGACACCAGAAGCAATGATCCAAGCCGTCCACCGAAACCACCAGATTCGTCAACTATCCTCATACTGCCATCATACGTTGCTGTGGACCTATTCCTATAGGAATATCCACGGGACAGCATATGAAACCGGACTGACCTACAGGACAGCTGGTTTAAATTCGGCTGTGTCATGGACCATGGACAACGTCGGACGTTGGCCACATCAGTCACTGTTTGTGCTGGTACGGACTCGATTATTTACAAAATGTCATTACAGATGACATGTCCGGAGAAGGATATTTCTTTTTTCACAAGAGGGTGTAATTGTCCATTGTTCTTTTTCAAATCGGGTCCCAATGTTAACCATTTGTATTAAATATAAATCAAGCAATAGTGCATCCATTACAAGTGTATTGTTTCCTCGTTTTGTATTACTAAATATATTTTAAGGACATTGATTTTTGTTTCTCGAGCACAGATGTTCGGGTCTCTGTTTACAGCTGGATGTAATTGCTTGTGTTCATCTCAGAATATATCTGGACAATCATGAACAGATCGGATAGTAACAACAGAAATGAGTTTCTGTGTGAAATAGACCACGTATCAAACGTGCTTGTCACAAATTAACTAAATTACCAAGGTTTTTGCTTGTGCCATTGGATGCTACAGGATAGAAGAGAGAAATGGCGAACAGACTTGGAAAAGAGATTCGTGACAAAGAGCCATGTTCTCCCAAACACCACCAAACCCAGGCACGTTTAATGACAGCCCAATAAGACGGATCGTGCCGTCCGTGAAAGAGAAAAATTAATGCCGATTTTCCTGAATTGGGAATTGCTTTAAAAGATCATTTGTTAACTGTCCAGGTCCGTTTCGGGAAATATATGGTATCGACTGTCGTGGTATTGACAGAGATATTACTGAGCGGTGGACCTCATACTGTGACCTAACGTATATTTCACGTACATCTGTATTGAAATGATTGATAGAATGCAGTTCAATACATTCAGGGACACCTGGTGTCATCACTGTTTAATAGTGATTCATGAACACATCATAGACTGGGAATGATATAATTGACTCTGCTTTAAGCAGATTTTTGGAAATAGTTCCATTGTTTATATTTTATCATCTAGATCAGAGGTATTATTTTCCATGTTTTCATTTCAAGACTTCTAGTCGATATCTACTGAATAATTATCCGGTTTGGTTGTGTTCCATCTGTATGACATTGATCTGTACAAACATCGAATCAGAACCATAAAATCTAATGATCGATATTATGAGCGTCTCAGATAAGTAACTGATCACTCGATCCACCGAGTTGTTTATTACGGCCAGCACAGGTTGCTGGGACGCCATTCTGATCCGATAATCCTATGCAGAAAACAGTGAGTGCTTTAGTGAGTACTAATTTACGTCTATTTTAGCAATATTCCAGTAACATCATGGGACACTAGAAAGGGGCTTCACAAATTGTCCCCAAATGATGGTTCGAACTAGGGTCTTTGGTGTGACGCGAGAACGCGTTATCCACAAGGTAACCCAGCTGCAGAACAAAGTGAACGCTCTATATATGTAAATTCATGGTTAAGTATATCTTTCATCAGAATTGTCTGTTTGTAAGTCCTACATGTATTTATGTACAATAGACACTCCTGAGATTCTTGAGTACAGTGAGATCGGACATGCAGACTGTGTAAGTAGTACCTTATACGCTGCTCGGACGTCATGTAATGGGAGAACCAGTGTTTAAAGGAAGCTTATCAAACAGTCGTGCACAGACAAACACTACGTCGTCCTTAACTGTTTCCATCAGACGAGTCTCTAATCTGAGATAATGGCTTGATATTTAAGCTTTCAGGAAAAAGACTGCATATATGTACTGAAACATTGTCTTCTGTTTCTCTTTAACTTTTAGAAACGAATTCCAGGTAAGCAAGTAGATTATCCTGTTTGTGATGCCAAAGTTTACGGATTGACATTTTAACTGACAGTAACATACTCAGAATTACATAAACATTGTTATCATTAAGACTTCTTGACATTTTGGTATGTTTGCCTGATGTTAGGAAAGAATGACGATATTCTAGAGCTCGATAATGGATTAAGCTGCATAGCATTTGCCTAGAAATGTGATATTAACAACTTTTATTGTGTTAAAACAGGTACACGATCAAACACACAAAGATAAACTAATTACGGAAACTGTTTAGCATTTTCTCATTAATCGTACCATATCAATTCAAGTTACTATCAAAAGTTAATATTGTTAAAACTTCATCAAAGGGAAAATACAAAAAAATTATCGAAACGTAGGTATTTAAGAAATGAAACTTCTTGACTGACATTTTGATAACAACAACGTATGGCTACAACTGCACGTATTTCTTACAACATAACCACAAACTGCGGTTTTTAGTGTATCTCTGAAATTCGCCATAGTGTCAACCAGATATAACAGACTCTGAAGCTGTTATTCCATACTCCATATTCCATACTCTTAACCAATATTTTGCAACTTTTCAAGAAAGTTCATTGTTTGCTGTTTAACGCCAAACTGAGTAATTTTCCAGGAATATACTGCAGTCTGTCCATACAATCCAGTGATTGACATCATGAACATTGGGATATAATGACATGCAAATGCCGTCATCCCCAATTTCGTCAACTCTTACGACGAGCGTACTCTGCTGGGAACTTAAACACTTACCTGCTGTCCCCAAAGGTCTAAAGAAATAAACTTGAAACCAGTGTAAACCTAGGTGTCGTACAGGAAGTGAATGCTCACACCAGAGCTTCACAGTGGCCATAATGCATGTATAGCTCATCGAAAATCAATAGAAGTCCATGTCAATGAGAAGTTTACCCAAAACCTCTACCCAAAACAAAGAAATATACTATCGATAATGCTCTTTTAGAAAGCACCTTTATTTCACTGCAATGATAGTTTAAGCACAAAACTCCCCTGAAACAATGAAGTTTTACATTACAGGCAGTTTCTGTTTCTGCAAATATACGGTTTTATGCTTTAATGCCATGTTTCAAGGTGATGGTAGTGGTGTTAAACACTGGTACTTACTTGCAGAAGCCAGCTGGAAGTTATCCGATATATCTATCAACTCCACCGTCACATTAAACTGGAAGTACTGCTCTCTGTCTTCATTCGCTGCATGTTGGTCAACGGCGTAGTCAAACGCTCGTTTGGAGATCAAGTCATTTTTGTCAAATATAGCACCTGTTGGGAAAATAATGAGAATAATTGATGTGGAGCGACATGCGAGTGATGTTGTGGAATATCATGTGTCTTTGATCTTCTATATGGACGGTTTGTCACTTTTATCATCTGCAACGGCGTATCGGAAATATCAATGTTTTCACCTCGTTAGCACAGAAAGTGACAATTCCCTGTAGTTCAGACACGGTGTTATTAAAGCAAAGCGGCTATCACTGAACCCGAATGCATGGACGGGTCACTGTACCCTTCCGTGATCACAGACATTCCTTGGTGAATTTAATTGCATGCAAGGAAAATATTATACTTGGGATTACTATTACAATACATTGTTACACTGTAATCGTGTATATTATGAAAATAACACGTTCCATTTTTTGTTACTTAGCTCTAACAAACATATAAATATGCAGACATTGATGTTTCAATAAAGTCGATTCATCACATTTATGGTGTTGATATTGTGGTACAATGGGCTCTGAGAGGAGATTACTGACATACGAACACCTGGTGTCATCAGTGATGTTCAGTGATACATTCATATAATATAACTATTTTCCTCTTTACACATAGCCGAAATTGTTTCTGAGGATGTCCAAAACTGGGTTTTCATTTCCACGGACGTTCTATTTGTTATTTTTGGAAAGGACATATTTTGTCGGTTCTATTGATAACCTTTAATAAATATTCCATAACCGTAACCCCCGGGGTAGAAGTTGATATGAAATATGACATCTTTTACAAATATGTACATACCGTTATTATTTTAAAAAGCAATTTGAAGAAGTTTCCGTTATTATATTATTGTTATGATTTTAAATGCTGATCTTTATGCGTAAAACTCATACATGTATTGTGTGATTCTGTAAAAATAGCTTGACAAAATGCGAAAACATATTTCCTAGTTTGAATGAACTAAGATACGAAGGCACATACTCCTGCTACTGGTAATGTTCTGTTTTTTGAGGCATCATTATGTAATGCAAATGAGAAAGATTCCATGTAGATACGTAACATATCTACATAGAAGGCGAACCATGTATACGTATTTTCTTTGTTCCATCACCAAATCTGTCCTCGTTTACATTAAACCTCATTACATTTAACACATCACATGTCACGTTGCCATGGGGATAACGTTATTCCATTATCTCAATTACAGCACGTGGGGAGACTGTGCCAAACACTGAATCAACACAACAAATGCCGTTTTGTTCCCCGATCAACACCCACTGAAGAAGGAGAATGAATTTTGTGTTATTAATTAATCTTGTAAATTCAAAGAGAATGAAAAATGTGATCTTTGATCATATTGAAGTACAATACCACGTGTCTGGACAAGTGTAGATGGGAAATGTCTTACAACGGAAATATTATATACAAATAGGGACATAAAGATATATGATTATTATTATATATATGGCTAAGGTTTGTAACCGTCTCGTTTCTTAAGAACTAATGAACACACTTTCCTACACTGAACACATGATACAATTTTTTTTGTATGTAATCCCGACAAGCTTCAAAATGAAAGACATTTGAGGAAATGGTTTTCATATCGTTAAGCATCTTGACATTGTGATATGTTAGTCTGCCAACTTCAAAGTAAAGGGAACATTTACGAGAACATTCGCTGTAGTTGAAGCACGGTATAGACGTCGTGATTAGTGGTTGCGATTAGAATATGCTGTCCAGACTACTGTGTACGTGATGGTCAGATAGATGCTGCAGCATCATGAAACATTGATAAGAACAAAATAATTGCCTCTGCTTTCTGACCAGTTTAAATATTAAGGAAACGGGAAAACGTGCTAGTTTTGTAACATAATCTTGTAACGCTCAAACATCAGTTAATACACATGGAATGAATAATGGATATCTTCCTCTTGTCCTGAAATGAATAACAATGTAATATGTTGGCTTGATTAGGCTATAAGTTTTGCTATTTACGCTATTGGATGTACTTTAGCAATGGACAGTATTAGCAATGGATGTTTAGGTGAAACAATACATTCTCGTACTGGGCATTTAAGCCATTGCGTTAAACGACTATGGTCACCTTGTATTATGTAAAACGCTGCACTCTCCGCAGCAGCCAGTGTTGTTCAATACCTACCTATTGGTATGAATCTCTGGAATGCCCACGATACTTCTAAACACAATAACACAATTGCACAAACCGTATCCAGGCCAACGCATCTCATTCTTGGCGTTTAATATAAATTCCTTTGCGAAAACACTTTAGATCCAAGTCACTTTCACATAACAAACACACACGTGCGTTTGGTGGTTGTCACAGTTCATTTTGCGCATGCTCATACAGCCGCTTACTGGTGACACCCTTCTTTATCTTTATTGATTTTTACGGCAAGTCGTAAAGATACAGTGCAGGCGCAGTGCTTTCCCTTACACCGCTCTCCTGCCAAGGAGGCGAGAAAACAGTTGGCAACTTGTTCACTGGGAGGACCGTTCCGGCATTTTCAGATTTTCATGGAAGAGAGTAAAACTGTCTTAAATACACGAGGCAGGCAAGAAGCGATCTGCACTCGCTCTGAGCTTGGTATGAGAACAGTAATTGATTTCGCTGACACTCGTGGCGTTTGGAATCATGGCGAAATTCAATCAGTCATAGCATTATTCAATCTAACTCAAGAATACGTAATAAATAGCCTTAGATTGGAGGCTTCGCTTCGCAATTTCGGTTAAATTGTTTAATTTTTTACCGGTTCTAAATTTAGTATGATTAAACGTTAGTTGTTCCTTCTGAAGTCCAGCCAAACAGCCTTTTCTGGGCCGTAGTTTACCACAGAAAATATTTAACCCTCCCAATCCTCCTTGACTCAAGATCGATTTTCACACGACATGGCGAAAATTAGGTATATTTTATAAAGCAAATATTTAGCCGATCCTGTTGTTATCTCCCTGTGTAAAGGGTTTGTATAGTGGATGTTAGTCTGGCAGCGGAATCCTGAAATCGATTGCCTGTTCCCCTAGGGGGTGGCGGAAACACGAAATCTAATTACAGAATGCTAGCTGTGGAGGTCAGTGTATTTATGGTCGTTATAATGGGATGTCTAGGGGCTTCAGAAAGCTTAAAGACAAGACGGACTAATTTGAAAATTTCGAGAGATACTTCAGCAAAGAATAGAGCACAAGTGAGTCAATTTCGTCTCGCATGGAAAGAATAGTCTGGTGTAACGTCTCTTCCACAGACTGGTTGTTATGGAAAATTGGTATTCACGGTGCCAGAGTTGCTTCTCTTTCAGAAGCATGCTTGCTTTGCAGCAGAAAATTGATAAAGAGGGTGATTAACGTTACCCGAATGTTTTTCGTACAATGTCAATAACGGTATTGCATGTTCCTGAGTGCATATACTTGTTATGCTGTGGATATTTTTTCAATGAATTTAAATCTGGCCGAACTGAAACCAGAGGTCTCTGATATGACTTTGCGCCTGATGATGGTAACTGGGCTACATTTACTTTGAGATATCAACACTACAGGGATAGAAACATTAGAAATAAATATAGAGTCAATTTATGTAATCTAACAGCTGTATATTTCAAATTACTTTTCTAATTTGCATGTGTATATTTTCATTTATTTTGGTTGTTCATTTGTTCGATGTGAAAGAATTAGACGTATCAGTCCTGTTCATATCGTTAAAGATGTTTTGTTTCGTCTTTCCAAAGGTTATCAAACTTTAATTTATGAAAGATGAATGAACACATTATAGTCGCTATTACCACCACAATGCATATAACCCCCGCATCATTTAATACAATTGGATATTCTCGGTGTTGTACCATATTTGACATTTCGTTCAATACTTGCGGTACAGACAGAACTGACTAAAATACTTCAGGAGGCTACCTCTAATGGAGAAGCTTGTACTAAATATTTTAAGGAGCTGAGACGGCATACCTCAAATAGTCGCAGAGGAAACGTCATATAGCCACGCCACATGGAACCGTTCCAGTTACAAATATGGCCACTGATTATTGATGCTAATATGGTGTAATTGCTGGGGGCTCTCACAGCAAGCTCTGCCTGTTTGGCTAATTGTATTTGATAGCTCAAAGTAGTGTTGATGATACACAGAGAACGGATAATTTGTGAGTTAGAAGAAGAAAACTCTTTGAAAATATGCCCTGGGACAAAAACGCGCCACCTGGTTTAAGTCACTTGACTTCAATACATTTGTCAAGTATTGTTTTATTCCATCAATTCTAAACTATTAGGTTGAGGAGTTTACTTGCACTCAAACAATCTGTAATCTGTCTCTGTCAGGGAAGGACATAATGACCTTCAAAGCAAAAATACAGTCGGGACTGTCTTTATAGAATCTGATCATAAACGAAAAAGCGGTAACAACATGGTTAAAGCCTCGTCTACCATTTGCCCCGTATACCACTGTTCGATTCGATGGGTGCAAGGTGAGAATGCCATTTCTTGTGAGTTATTGCTAAAACACACACCTATGAGCATAGGTAAACCAGACTCACTCACTCACATTAGAAACTTATGTTTTATGTTTCCAGTAGATGGAGTTTGTTTCTTGAAGTTTCAAAACAATTCAAAAGTACTCGCACGAGAAGACAACAATTACAGATACGTCCCGCAGTGAATCAATAATGACATCGCCATCTTGTCAGTAGAACAGACAAATGGCGTACCGCTAATTGCTGTGTTAGTTTTTCCTGCTGGAACCTCCGTCTTGGAGCCTCTAATTGTACAGGAGCAGGCACCGGAAACATCTCATCTCCGCTTCGAGGAGAAGGATCCTTTCTTCTGCATTGTCCTTCCCAGTTCTTGGAATATTTCCAGGTCTAGCTTATTTGATAGCTTGGTTTGTGAGGCGATCGTTCATCATTGCTAAGCTACGCTTCCTTTTTCTTAGTGTCGAAAGGGATTGAAATTATACCAGGCGAATCTTATTTTTCACGTAAACCGAATAACGACACCCATTACTGAGACATTAGACCGGTAACAATGCCAGCTTACTCATTGTCGCTTGAGGTAAAACATTCCACGACTTCTGGTAACCATGGCAACTGCCGGTTCCTTGTTTCAAGCTGTAAGGGTACGGAGACTGTTCCTCGGAGGTATTAACTGTTTTTATGGCGTAAAGTTACAAACATGATTAAGAAAAAAGCCCCAGTGATTGTGTAAATTGAAGCGACATTGCTTCATGACATTCTGGTTACGGCTCGAATATCCTATCAGGGTGTACATAAAGAACCAGATGTTGTATAACATGTCATTTTCATTCAAATGTCAACAAAATACATCGATTCGAGTTTGTCTCATGTTTGGAGGAAGTGGACGCTTTAACCTCTAAATATATGTCCAAGTAGTGAGTGTGAGTTCGGATTAAGGCCACTTAATCAATGATGTCACGGCATGTTAGCTACATACAGTACGGAAGTCCGAAGTGACACATAGGGATACTTTTACTCCTAATTGAAGCCCTATAAATTCGAGATTTTAAGATTTTCTGTATGTTGCCAATAAAAGGTGACATAAATTATCATAATAATATTATTGTTTGAAGTTTATGTGTTACATCTGCTTATCATACTAAGTGTAATAAAATCCTACTATGAGTGAGTGAGTAACTTTCGTTCTATGCCCAGAAATGGGCTTCACACATTGTACCCATTCGGGGAATCGAACCCGGGTCTTCAGCGTGACAAGTGAACGCTTTAACCACTAGGCTACCCAACCGCCCCAATCCTACTATGAAGCTCCAGTAGATGTGCTATATGAGCTCACATCAACAGTAGTCATAATAGTGATGGTGTTGTGTTTCGATAGAGTGTTTAGCTCATTGTAGAGGTTTTAAGTACACCCACAGCATGATGTTGAACACACGGATAACAGTAACTTGCATGCTTGACTGCAGCTTAACCAGAGCAGATCTTACCATATTCTGTTGGAAACGACAATGCAATTTTGAACATTTATACATGTATATCTGGTAAATTACAGCTTAGATGAAAAAATGACATTTTATCTGGTAAGATGAGGTGAGATGGAAGTGGGTGAAACGGATTCTGACGCTTCAGTTGAGACGTGCCTGCTTGTACAACGCGGGTATGGATGTCCCACTCAGAACCAAAGAGTACATATCATCTCCTCAATAACGGGCGGGCAACAAGTACCATCTGTAACAGTCGTTAGGTAGGAATCCTGCAGGGACATTGTGTACAACCATGAGCATGTGTTATACGAGCCATCACATTGCTCATGACTCCAAGGGTCCACGAAAAAACGAGCTGGCTCACGAGTGACCCATTTTACAAACAAATGCAAGGGCAAGTTAATTGTTCTCCTGAAAACCAAACCAAAACACGGCAACAAAGTTAAAACCAGCAATTGCAATGGGCGTCATGATTGTCACACATTTGGAAATGACATCTACATATCTTCAACAAAACCATTTTGAAAGGTTTACTGGGGACTTCAATAAGTTGACTTTTAAAAACATTGGACTCACCTTTAATGTCAAACAGTCGTATAGACATGTTTGGCACTCTGATGTTTGTGTGTGCCTCGATGTAAATAGGACAAACGAAGGTGAATCTCCTGTCTCCATTTATTACTAGTTTGAAAGGTAAATCAGTGGAAGGGAATTCGTTATTTGATGCTTATGCAACGATATCAGATAAACGATATACTCCAAGCTCAAGTTTCTCTTCTTGAACAAACTGCTCTGTTTTGACTTAGCAGAAACAAACAAATCAGTAAGAAGGGAGCATAATTGGTGCCAATGGGGATGCCAACTTCTTGTCTTGTCCCAGGAGTTTTCATAGATGCCATCAATGAATATCTAGTCTATGTAGTTTCTTTTTCATGTGAAGCCCATTTCTGGTGTCCCCTGCCGTGATGTTGCTGGAATATTGCCGAAAGCGGGGTAAACCCAAACTCAGTCAGTCAGTCTTTTTCATGTGACATGGATACGCGTCAATAGGGTTTTCATTATGACGTTATTTGAGTGTAGTGGTTTCTTGTGGGAGATTGCATCTTAACGGATTAGATGACATTACTGGCAGATGGTGAATGGTGTTCAACAGGGCTCCATTTCACATCCAAGTATATTGAATGAAAATTTGCTTGGTCGAACCCAATGACTGTTGGGATTGTACATGCTAATTCAAAACATTACTACCTACCCACTATTCCTTTGTCCGGACACTTGGTAACGGAAACGTTTTGATTAGCGGGGGTTCACTGTATTTAATATCAGTACTGAGGTTCATATGTAAACATCAGCGTGTTCCTTACAACAACCACCTGAGTACATGTTGCGCATTTACATGCGTAATTC